TTCCACCCAGAATGTTAAAACTTTGCCGTAGACGTCTGCCCCATGCTAGAAACCATGGCTTGCAGCACCTTGAACCTGACCGCGGGTTCCCAGGCTGAGAGAGCATCAGCAAGCACTTGCGGCGTGCAGGCGCATTCTTGGAGGGAGCGCGATCCTGAATATTTTCCGGCAGTGTAGGACCCTAAACTCCTAGCGCCGAAACCTCTAAACCCCTAAACTCAAACCCCCATAAACATGCCTCGGCCTGGTGTGTATCCTACATAGCCTAGTCCTCTCACTATTACTATGTCCTTTTTCTCGCGCGGCAGAAGTAGCGGCTGAGATTCGGAAGCAGTTAAAGCTATCTGCACAGGATCTCAGTGAGAGCGGAGGCCCGTGAAATTAGGCGTACTCCTTAAGGGGAAGTGTCATTGAGCCGTCCAGAAGCTCTGGCTAGTACAGTTTCACACCGTGTTAGCAGGCCTCGAACCATATGCCTCGCCTGGATTGTCCGAGTGTGAGCGCCGAAACCAGACCCTTAATCCTACGCCCCTAAATCCCTAAACGCTCAAACCGCGAATGCAACAGAAACACCTCTCCTCGCAGGAAATCGTCGACGGTGACCTTGTCCTTCACCGACTCTTTCCCGTACATGCCACCTCAAGCAATAAGTGCCCTGCCCCAACATTACTATGGCTTTACTCAGTGAGGCTCAAGTCAGGTTCAGCTGCTGGGTCGCAGCTCGGGTTCTTACGGGGTGTACAACTGCAATGTGGTGTGGCGTGCATCTGCAGTTGCCAAGTTTGGATTTTTCGTCCTTTGGAGCCTTTACTCAGCTTGAAACTCTTCGGTTGCTGGAATGACTTTGGCCCTGTTCTTGCCTGGAAGAGCCCTGGTTGACAGTCGAAACCTCAAACCCAGTCTTCCACTTATCCCGGTTCACACCCTTCGTCACCTTAGCCACTGCCTTAGTTGTACAAGTGGGAGTTTCCGAAAATACGGGACCCTAACATAGCACCCTAAATAGGAGGATCCTCGTTTCAAGGACGCCAAAGTAAGGTACCCCCCTAATTTTCGGAAGCTCCAAAAAAGGCCTGAAATTGCCAAGGCATTCTGGGGCGCATCGGAGAGGAAGCTCTCGAATCTCTGCGAGGTTCTTTCCAAGGCAGGAGGGCAGATTCAGGAGCACAGGCCCTGCAACGACAGCAGAGCTACTACCGACGCTGAGCCGCTGAATGATGTCAACCCAGAAGCCTCGAAGCCCGACATCTCTGAGAAGGTGGGCTTCACGACTTGTGGCGCAAGGGTGCGAGGCATCTTTGGGATGCAGATGTGCGGGAGGCCCCCCTGCTGTTGTGGCATAGCGGCCGGGGTTGAAGGTGCAGCTTAGGGCTGAGCAGATGTTGTCCGACGTAAATGAACCGCGAGGCTAAGACAAAGGCCGTGTGCCTGACCGTCTGAGTTCAGAAGTCGGGGAGGAAAAGCTTGGGAAGGTGCCATCGGATTGGCTGATGATCAAGAAGCCCTTTTAGACAGAGTCGACGTCTTGTCCGAAGGCGATGGAGACCGTCCGTGTGCTTCTGGAAGTGGGCGAGCGCAAGGTTGGTGTGGGGACAGTGGGGAAAGTGTGGGGAGCGAGAGGTCTTTGTGCATTCGATCTAGAAACTAGTTTCATCTAAGGTTGTCACAAAGGTCGGAGGGCTTTAGATTTCACTGCGCCAAGTCTCCTGGAAGGCAGCCCATGGTGCCAGACAGCTGGCGGTGCGAGCAGGAGGGCAACTGACATCAGCTTGCGGAACAAAGCTGGAAGGCCGCAGAATGAAGCGACCAGAGCAGGCTGAGGTTACATGTCGGTTTTACGACCGAGATCCGGCAAGTTTAAGAAAGAAATTCAGTCCAGCCTCATGGCAAGGGTCAGAGACAGTTAGCCGGTTTGTGTTGATGAGGTTGTGCCCAGGAAAACGCCTAAAGGCGATCATTCAGTAAGGACCCGAGAAAAATTACAAGTCCACCTATCAAAGACAGAGTCTGGACATCAGAGGCGCAATTCGGCCAAGAGTCGCACACATCACTGTCAAAAGCTTCTGGTTCTTCTATAGCGGAGGCGGCATGCGGGTGATGGTCCGGTGGCTGCCGGGTTCCGTTGGTGCCACGCACCTTGCGCCCCCTGGGCCAGGAAGGTCAGGTTTTTGGTTACGCTTCCAGCTGCTTTTTCTTGCAGGTGTTCGAGTTGGGGGGGTGGTTCTGGAGTCGCCAGTACCAGGCCACAGAAAAGCGGAGGAGAAGCCTGCAGTAAGGTACCTCAACGGGCACATCGGAGTCCTGGGTTCCTTCGACGGCAGCTCAAGGCGCTGGCAGGCGGCCTTTCCTTTCTCTCAGCCCCGGTGCACGAAGTCACCGGTGGGCCGGGCCTCGTCGTCTTTGGCGTTGCTTTCACTGTTCAAAAGCTTCGATCGCTGAATGAGAGAGCGGAGTCCGCGAAAACCCAGTCCCAAACCGCGTGGGCTTCAGTTTGGGAGCAAGCAGCCGGGATGTGACCCGAACGATTGGACCCCAGCGACAAAATGCCATACTTGCAGAGATAACGTCTGTAAAGTCCATCTAGATCTGACGCTGCAGCCTCGGTGAGAGGTGGGCTTTGAGACCTTTGACGGCCACCTTGATATCGGGGCGGTGTCCTGGCTCATACAAGCATAGCCCCAGTGTGAGGTTCAGAGCTTTGGGTGACTTGGTCTTTCGGATTTGACGCTTAGGGGTACTTTGGGGTTTAGGGCTCATCTGTGCAGCACGGGCAGCAGTCGGGGCTTGGGCCAGAAACTCCAAGGGAGGACCTCCCAACGCCCACTCCATGTGCTCAGCTAGCCCACGAGAGTATCTGTTGGAGTTGCCCGCGGAGAACACCCCAAGCACCAAACCAGCCCAAGCAACCGAGCGAAAGTCGTATGTTTCAAAACCGAAGCCCAGGCCATCAGCTTGGCATCCTAAATCCTAAACTTGCCAAGTAGGAGGGAAAAACAAGCCTCCCTCCGTCCCTCCCTCCGGTCCGCCTCTGGAGGAGCACCTCCATGTCTGTGCTGAGAGGAAAGGGCGTGAGGCGCCGGATGCCAAGTAAAAGCCAAGCTGGTTCTTAATGCGGGGTCTGTGAACTATGCTTCAGGTCTTCCACTTTGCAACTATCGTTGGTGTGACTGCCTGCTTTGAAGCTTATCAGTGTTTTTCCCTCCCCTCCGGTATATATAGAGGTTGGGGTTGATGCAATAACAATTTTTGACTCTCATGGGCAACTTGCTTTGTCTTCAGCAGCTTCTTTAAAGGCTTCCTTTTAAGCAAAGTGTGCCTCGGTTTCGTCGCCGATCGCGTTTTGCAGCACCTACGTCAGTGAAGCTCGCCTCGCTTCTGATTTCCAAGAAACGAAGTACGCAGAGGGCGAACATGGACGAAAAGTTACAGGAATGTGCCAGGGCTACAGTAGCATAGAAGAAAGCCCCTAGTAACCTTTATTAAAGCCCTTCCAGAAACCCTGATTATGGGACCCTTGTAGAGAGCCCTCATAGGAGTTCCTATTTGGGTGGTTGTCAACATCATGGGCCCTTTTTGGGTCTTTAATCTAATACGGCACCTAGCATTCAAGGTACCCCAAAGGGGGACCCTAATTTTGACGACTGCCCATATAGTACCCTAAATAGTAGGATCCTTATATTGAGGACCCCCCCAAACTAAGGTACCCCCCAATTTTGACAACCCCCCATTTCGAGCTGACGTCGCAGGCCAGAGAGAAGGCTCCTCGGCGGGAGGGCCTCAGCTGCGAGATGTGTCTGGGACAGTGCCTGGGCGTACAACGTCTGGGAGTTTCCGAAAATTGGGTGGGTACCTTATTTTGGGGCCCGGTAATAAGGATCCTACTATTTCGGGTGCTATAGTAGGGTCCCCGGAATCTAAAAGGTGGGTTATTACAAGGGTTGCCATCAGGGTTTCAGGTTTCTGTTTTCCCTTTGAAGGGGCTGTGTAGTTTTCCCGAATGGGCACCCTTTTCGTCACCTTCTGTTCCACGCACCATGGATCGCTGAATTTGCAATGGAAGCTTTTCCCTGGACTTTGGGACTACAGCGTGTATCGGTGCGCAGTCATATGTATACTGTAACCAGAACGAGTAACGGTGAAGAGCTAGACAACAAGTGCCTCATAGCTAAAGAACGGTTAATGATCAGTACTTCGTGCGTTGTTATAGTATCATGTTATCTTGCAATCCACGTTTAATAGTTCGTAGCGGAAAGTTGGTACTTAGTAATTAGCAACCAGTCATTTAATATACATCATACATGCATACATACATACATACATACACGCATAACATATACATGCACATGTGCATGCGTCACGCGTGTATACATAGGCATAGACATATATAAGCCTGCCTGCCTTCCTACCTGCCTTCCTGCCCGCCTGCCTGCCTACATACATACATGAACGATCAAGCGTACATGTGCCAGCTTTTTCGTACCTCGAGAAGGCGCGGCATCTAACCAACGTGAGGCATTCATGAAAGGCAGGCCACGTCATTTTCATTACATTGTGTTGCGCTGTGCCTGGCTTCGTCATGCCATACTTCCAAGATTGTCTCAGGTGCTGGACTAGCACGGAGAAGCTTTGCTCCAGAGTGTGGTAAAGGAACAGAAACTACGATTCCTCAGCACACAGTAGATGTGCCCAAGGTTTTTGGAAACGCAGATCCGAATGCTGCCCTGCGCATCGCAGCACAGCTACTGCCAAGATTGTTTGCGGTGACTAGGAAGCACTCAGCAGCCTCGAGTCTGATTATGCTAGCGGCTGTCCCACGCCATAAGCAAGCAGGCAACTCGGCACTAGGGCAAAAGCACGTCATACTTGGCTGTTGGCTCACGACAGGGGCTTTCACCTTGAGCTGTGATGAGCATCCGAAAGATCCTGATTTCAGGAAGTGGGTGTTGACACAGCTGGTGCCTCGCTGCTACCGGTGCCTGGATGAAGCCGACTTGCTGACGATGCAACAGGCCGGCCTGTCCGCTTGATCGGTTCGTGTGGAGGAATGTGCCGTGCCGTGAACGGGTGAGTAGCAAATCAGCCGGGCCAGGTCAAGCGGGCGGGGGCGCTTGCTAGCTAGTCCCAGAATGCAACAGGTCCAAAGCCCGGGCGCGCTTGTATTTCCTGTTCTCGTACTTTGCTTTGCAGTTGCCTGAGGACGAAGAATCGTCTTCGAGTGGCACAGCCGCTGTAGAAGAGAGTGCTGCACGGAGCTAACGCTCAAATCCAAGCGAACGCGTGCGGCAGGGTCGGCCGGAACCATGGAATGCCGTGGTTGGCGGGGAGGCGGACGCGACGACTGTGTACCGGATTGGCAAGGAGAGCATTTGCGACGGACAGAGTCAGAGGCTTCAGTCTCAGGCGGTGTGGGTTGAGGAACTGCTGGTGCAAGCAAGTGGCATTGCATCAATTGTCTTGTTTTGTCTTTAGCGTTCTGTGCAAGCTGGCAGATCTCAGCAGGATGACATTGATCGTTTGGAGTGCGTTTGCTGCTTCGACGTCTGCAGCGGCGCTCGCTGCATCATCATCGGCCTCCCTGGTGTCTCGAACGGTGATTGGAGCTTGAGCGCAGTCCAGAGCAGGGTGTCTCCCTTAACGAGTGTTTCGTGGCTCTCGAGCGTTTGGGCCGCTTGGTACTGCACCCTCGTAGGATCCTGTGGCCTAGGCTTGTCGGGCCAGCGCTGCATCGTCGGGAGGGTGGAGAGCCTTGGCTAAAAAGCGTCATGGCACGACGTGGTCATCGCCATAATTCCCAAAAACTGCTAGGCCCGCTTGCTGCGCGCGAGCGCAAAGTAGACCTCGACTGGCAAAACCACGGAATCTCCAACCATTGGTTTAGCTCTCGTGGTCAGGAAGAACCAGGCCGAGAGTTTCGCCGTGATCTACGATGCGAAGGGCTGCCGGCGGCAGGTGCACGTGGCGTGCCTGGCAGTAGCTTGGGTCAGCAAAGATCAGAAGTGCGTGCTTTGACATCTTTGGGGGTTGAATCTGCAGCGCCACGCGTCCTGCGAGTTTCCCAGAAAGTTTGTTTGGCACAGGGGTTTGTGCATACGGATGATGAAGGCTTTCCTCTCTCGCACACCCCGAGTTTCGTGTTCGGGGTCACCCACAAAGTTTCCAGGCTGGCGGGACCGAGTTCGCAGCTCAGGTGGACGACTGCCTGTCATCTGGCCGCACAGCTCGCGGTGACCCCTGTCCTTCCAAGGCCGAGCAATTCTGGTGTAAGGCTTCAGGCGACATCGCGGCGTTGATTCAGATTTTGTGGTTCCGGCTGCCACCCAACATGATATACATAGCTGCTGAAGTAGCTGTGATACTCGTACTCAGCTACCTCCCATGAACAGTGCGGAAATTCAGCATCAGCTGGAGATTCCGGCAAAAGCCTGTGCCTTGAAGGGCAGTTTGCACCCCAAGCATGGAGACTCCTTGGTCCGAAGGTCCGAAGCTACTTGAATCTGCATGAATCTGCCCTTCTTATCCCCAAAGCAGCAAGAAGGGAACTCCCAGCCAGAAGCCCCGGAACTCGCAGGGTGAGCGCCTAAGCCTTGGGCTGGGTGTGGCAAGCCCCTCGCACCGCAGGTCAGGACTTGCATTTTGCGCTGTGCTCTTGAACTCAGCCTATTGATCATCAAAGCTTGTGTGCTATTATTTGGCGCTCAAATCATTTCTTTGCATGCCCTGATCCCGAACCAAAGACAGTCCAAGGCAAAGGCGACGTTCTTGCAACGTTCCGAAGCAAAGCAAGACCCTGACGTAGAGCCGCGAAGAAGACCATGTAAACGATACGAGTCGCAGTTCAATGGTACCAACATCTCCATCTACACATGTTCGAGCTACGTGTCACCTCATCGATGCATAGACGACCATGCAAGCGAATGCTGGCCAACGTTTGCTTTTGGAAGCCTAGGCCTAGGGTGCGCCTGCGCGACCTGGCCTTGACTATACTGCGGCCGAGTTTTGTTCAAACACGTTACGACTCGCAGGATCTCTCAATTGCAGAGCTTCTATGTCTTCTGAGGGTCTGTCGAAGGTAAGGTATGCTGCCTGGTTGGTCGCACGATTGACCGAAGCCACCCCACTGGTCTAAGAGGTTCTTCTTTTCAAGACGGCAGAAGAAGGCCTTGTAGGAAACTCCGAGGTGGTGAAGCAGGCCATGGACGAGATGCCCCTTGACATTCTTAGCGGGTTTAGGCTTTAGGGTCTAGGGTTTAGGGCATGTCTAAGCGTGGGAGGGGAAGCAGGGGCTCAGGGGACGCTTGATCGAGAAAAGAAGCAGTCCCAGTCATGAAACCTGTCGAGGAATCCACCGTGTATCCCTAAACCCTAAGCCCTTGCCTGCCGTGTGCGAGTGTGAGCGTCGAAACCCTAAACCCATAAACCCTAAACCCTACCTGATATCTGGTAGTTCTGCTCGGGTTTCCTTTGCGAAGCGGTCTTGCAAGGTTTGTGGAGCAACTGGCAATGCCTTTCGATTGGCTGGTCTCCCGGGTAGAGGGCGTCCTCTACTTCTTCCGGCATGGCTTCCGTGATTTCACCCACTACGACGATGCACAGGCAGGGGCAGTTCTCCAAAGCCGTAAATCGCACGCCCAGCTAGCTTACTCGGAACACCACTAAGTCACTAAGCCTCTGATTTGAATGCCAAAGCCCATTTGCTAGCTTGCCCCTGGCCCGAAGGTCGTCGGGGAGCATGGGTATACCTCCTTCCGCTCTGCCTACCATGCTTTCCCGCATCACGACATCTCCTCAGGAGCTCAAGTGTGGATGGGTTGGTTTAGGTCCTTGAGGGCTTTAGGGCTTCGCGACTTTGCGAATGATCACATGCTTATGTCCCTAGCTGGTTGTGGGTGCAGTTCTTTCTCAGGGCCGATGGCTTGTCAGGGCTTCGCGAGCTTTCTTTCACCTGGGGTGATGCTGTTTTAGCGTATACTCCAAATTCCAGACATCATGTTCCGAATCTATCCGGATCTTGGAGTTGTATAGCCCCTTAAACCCCAAAAAGATTCCAATGCACAGACCCAGGTGCAAGACAGTTATTTCTGCCGAGCACCAGTGGTGACGATCACCCTGGTGAATACTTGAACTTTTGTCAGCCTCCTCATAAATCCTCATAGATCCCTTAAGCACTCCTATAGATCCCTTCACTCCTCCTGCAGATCCCTTATACATTCCTATAGAGCCCCTATAAGGGGACCGACAGCGCAAGACTCGTCGCAGGCTCCTCCAAGAGTGCCTTCCAGCGCCGCGGCGAGCGGCTGCTTCAGCATTACGGCTTCAACTTTTGCTGCAGTTGTTGGTTTTGGGGTTTAGGGGTTATTTGCAAGACTTCCAGAGGCCTGGATGCAAAAAGGGGTTACTTGCAAAAGGGTTCAGGGCCAGTTGAGGCTTCTAGGGCGCAAGGAGTCAGTTCATTCAAGGCTTGCTTTGTGGAGCGAGAAGATTTTGTATCAGTTTCCCGCACTCCCACGGACGATTTAGCAAGTTGAACAGGCATTTCCGACTGACTGCCGCAGGCTGGTGAAGGCCTGCACCGAGGCCACCGCGCGGCCCCTGTTCCTTGGCGTTCTCGGAGCCTCCGAAAGCTTCAGTAATTCGGCCCCAGGAGCTTAACCAACACCAGCCCCCCTTCCCCGTCGCCCCCTCCATCCGCCTTTGGCCCCTTGTTAAGGCTGTTGATCCGCGTCTGTGCGCGCTCAGAAGAGCTGGACTCCAGCGAGGCCTCGGTTTCGGGTGGAGCCCCGCTCGGAGTTTCTGAAGCCTTGGACCAGGAGCTCTACGCTCAGCTGCGCCTTTTGGGTGGCCAGAAAGTCTTCCTGCTGGTTCCACGGCTTGGGAAAGTTTCAGTGTGCTTGGTATGTGAAGTGCTCAAGGTGAGAAGGTATCCTGAGCGGAAGGCCACGGGGATCTGGCGGCTTTGTACTTAACGCCAAGCAGCACAGTAGCACAGGTCGTGATCACGGAGCAGCGGCGATTCCTCGGGGCTGTTCAGCACCTGCAGCTGAGCAACCTGATCTTCTACGTATGCAAGGAGGGCGATGCCAGGGAAACAGAAGCAGTTTCAAACTGAGCAGCTTCTTGCTTGTTCTCTCCCGATGCACATGGGAGCCGCATGCCTCGGCCCGACGTGATAAGTGAGAGCGATCAGACGTATTGGCAGGTAAGGCCCAATGCCCTCGAACGGTCGAGCCTGTCGCAAAGAAGTCACATGGAGCCACATCACAAGGGATCCCCCTCTTCTGTTGTTTGCAGCAGGTTGTGACCCTAATGCGTGCTGTGAGGAGGGCTGCCGAGACCTCACCGATGCAGTGCGTTTTCCGGCTCGACTTCAATCGGGGGCTGTTGTAACTGGGGCCCCCTCTTGCTGTAGCTGAAGACTCCCCTGGATCCAGAGTTTCTCCTCGGAGCTGGACTTCCAGATGTGTAGGCGTCAGGTGGTGACTTGGGTGCTGTGAGGGTGAGTCGCAAGGAAACTCCACGCTATCCCTGTTCCTTCTTACCATCACTACCAGATCATGTGTAGTTGTAGCTGTAATGCCTGGCATGCCAAGCACGGGCTTGTAGAGGTCAAGTCCCTGAAGCCGAGGCTTCGGAATGGACTACAGCTACGCAGCTGTGACATTCGGCCAACACAGCTCCTTGCTTTGCATCCCCCTTTTTTTGCAAGGAAGCAACAGAGCTGCGAATTCCCCTACGGGTGCATCCTGCCCACAATGGCTCTTCGCCTCTTGACTGAGGCCTGGAAGCCGCCCAAACTGTGAGTCCCCTTTCGCCCGCGCTGCAAGCGAGCCTGGGCTAAAGTCTAAACATATATATATATATATATATATATATATATATATTCCCATTCACCGAAGGTGGACACCCGCAGCCAATGTCCAGCAGCTTCTTTTCGTGGCACGAAGCCTCAGCCTGAAGCAGACGGAACTTCCCAGTAGATCAGACCTCTGTCGTGCTTCCCATGTTTCCCAGGAGCAGCCTTCGAAAGTCTTTGGACCAGTCGCACAGGCAGCTTGATCTGAGCAGGGAGGGACACCCCAAATCAGCAGAAGGAGGCTCCATATACGACTAAGAAGTGCGAAGGTAAGAGCATGCGCAGTGGAAAACATGGATGTATTGCAAAGGTAGAGTTTTTGGCAGAAGGGCTTCCGAATCGCATGTTGAGGCACTGGCTCACGCGCGACAGTCGCGGCTTGTCGCCCACGTCAGACATCAAGGGCTGCTTCGAGAAGGGGCCGGATCAGTTTTTCCCCGGCCGCTTCTCGCCACGGATTCAACAGGGTCCCTCCCTGATCTGGCTACAGGTCCGTTGGTCGAAGATGCTTGGTAGTCGTAGCTGTAGCTCCTCAGTGGCAGACGTCGTGAGTGCATCGTTGATCCATGGCATTCCATGGCACTCTTTCCAGTCCGACCGGCTACAGGATGTTGTATGTCGTCCAGCCCAGCGTCGCTCCATTGAAGTTCAGCTATCAGCAGCTATCTCCTAGATGGCTGGTTGTCAAGATTATGGTCCCTTCTTTGGGTCCTTCATATAATACGGCACCCAATAATTTAGGGTACCCAACAAGGGATCCTAATTTTGACAACTACCCAGATAGAGTCCGCCCTTCAGGTTTCCACAAGACCTCTGCCTTCGAGCCCTCGCCGCACTACGCGCAGCACTTGGAGAAGAAGGCCAGTCCCAGATTCAGAGTTCGAGTAGGGGCCTCAAGAGGTGGAAAATGGCTCCGAGGCACATGATACTGTGGTTAAGCAGGAGCTGAGGGTGGAGCAGAAGAGAGAACCCAAGCAGAAGGGGTTCGGTGGTTTGGGAGGCTCTATTTTCTCCCATGCTTTCGAAGCTCACTAGGACATCCCTCTGGAAGCAGATCACAACATCAAAAAAAAGGCTTCCACAGCAGGAAGCGACCCAGTATCCCCTTTGGGACTCCAGGAAAAGGCCCAGATTTCACTGGCTTTGACAGCTCCCTGCAAGGTGATACATGCGAGCGGCGAGGAGAGCCTTGCCAAAGTATATGAGCATACCCGTGCCTCTCATGATGTACGTGTAATATTGTGCACACAGAATGAAATGCAGATGTAAAGACCTGACTAAGTCTCATGTCATCTCATGTCGTTGTACAGAGGGCAGAAACGAAACGCACCGGAAGACACCTTCTCGAAGATCTTCCCTTCCACTACTCGTTGCTCCGGGGAGAGTGAAACGCGAAACCCTGAAAAGCCTCTGTTTCCAGTTGCACCCAACTCCAAAGACTTAGCACCCGCCTCGTTTTGGGCGTCCGACTGTGAGTGCCAACACCGTAAAGCGGTAGTCGTCGTCGTAGTAGTAGTAGGAGGAGGAATCTAATCCGATCGCCAAGGCTAGCCAGGCTCGCCGAATCACTTGCGCAAACGCCGCAGCCGGACGTCAACGCCTGGGATGGTGGCTCGAGCGACCAACAGTTGGGGTGCTTAGGGTCTGTAGTGTGACGGGTCCGTCACCTGAATTCTGTGGTCGGTTTATTGTAGGGGCATGTACCAATCTTGGCTGCCCAGTCGCTCCTGTAACTTGCAGTAATTCGCTTCTGATTCTTCAGGAGCTGGGTACCATGAAGGATGTTAAATGTCGTTAGTTCTGCCAAGGACAAGGTGAAACGCTTCTACACAAGGCCGCTAGAAGGCTGGCCTGTTGGCGGTTTTCGGATGTGCGTCCTTCAAGAAATCGTTGTGTTTGGTATGGGTGGCTTATCTGAGAGGGAGAAGGGCTCCTGACCAATGTTGTGTTCAGGGCTAGGCTTCTGCATCCGAGACCGCTGCACACCGATCCTTAAGCTCCACATGCTATGTGCTATGTAGTTGATAGGAGGTGTGATGGATTGTGCCAACTATGTCCCACCATCACTCCCCATTCTCTCTCTCTCTCTCTTTCCCTTCCTCCCTCCCTTGCTCCCTCTCTCCTACATATGTGTCTCGCTCTCCCTTTCCCCCTCTCACCCAGTACATATGTATCTCTCCTTCCCTCTCTCTCCCTCTCCCTGTCTGTCTTCCCCTGTCTCGAAGGGGTCAGCCTGAAATACTGGCGCCACTGCTGCTGATGGCGGCAGATCCGAGTCTCGTATTGATCTGGGCCCGGAGCGAGCTTTCAAATACAAGGGCCTTAAGAATTAAGATAGGGTTCCTTTCAAGGGGTCTATAGTATAATATAAAGTGGCCTTAACAATTTAACAATTAGAATAGAGGCTTTTTGTGGCCCATTAGTTATACTATAATTCTACTACGGTTCCTTCAAAATAACATATGTAATTATTTAAGCCCCTATATTAACCTCGTACAAGCAATCCCCCAAGCACAAGACTATGCCGCATTTTGTGTGGCTTCGCTTCAGCACTTGAGGGTAGACGGCTCTGTTGTGCGAAGCTGTGTGGCATATCACCAAGAGGGCAAGTCCGAGCCCGAGACTACGACCAAGTCGTCGTAGCTCTGCCTGCAGAAACAAAAAAATCATGATCCCCTGCTGCCCAGGAACTGCCGCGGGAAGGATGGTCGCTGCCCTTTGGACCGCGTTCCGAAAGGCCCTGGCGGAGATCTCGCCCGGTCGTTGCTGATGATGGCGGCTGCAGAGGATCCCGTGGGCCAGTCCGGTGGAACGACAGGGCCCAGGGCGGTCGAGCCCGGTAAGGGGTACCATGAAGATTCAAATGCAAGACGTAGGCGTGAGCTGTGCCTTCAGCGCCTCCCGCAGCCACAGCAGTCATCGAATGTTTCTGGAACTCCCGGACCTCAAGTTGGATGCCGTGCTTGATCAGAGATGCTGGACTCTCCAAAAGTTGCTGCATCGCTTGCATCGTAGGACAGCGTGCCACAGACGGAAATCATGCAGCTTGGCTGGCGATTCAGAAGAAAGACAGCAACTACGTTACCCAACCGGTCCGTTTTGGGGTAACCTTTACCCAATGTGCTTGCCAGGAGGGTGGTGGAGGTGGTGCCCGAACCCTGGAGGCACACACTTGTTGATCCTTCGTGTTGGTTGTGTTTGTGATTGTTGCGACCGGGTCTGTTCAGCATATTTCCCAGCCAGCGAGAGCTCTTGCCCACACCACCCGGCATTCGCTTTGCTTGCTGGTCTTTCAGCCCTGAAGTCGACCGGCTGAATCCCCAAGCATGCACAAGATGGTACGGCAGTGAAATGAACCACAACAGCAGCGCGAACCAACAAAATAGTGATAACTCCTAGTAATGGCCGAGTTTATCGTCATCATCTTTATTCTTGTTATTAGTCGAGTATTGTTAAGTATTGCTATGAGTATTTTGTTACTATTAAATGTAGCAGCAGCAGGAGAGGGGTAGTGGTAGTAGTAGTAGTAGTAGTAGTAGTAGTAGTAGTAGTAGTAGTAGTAGTAGTAGTAGTAGTAGTAGTAGTAGTAGTTGGTCGTGGTAGTAGTAGGAGTAGGAGTAGGAGCAGTAGTAGTAGTAGTAGTAGTAGCAGTAGTAGTAGTAGTAGTAGTAGTCGTAGGTAGTAGTAGTAGTAGTAGTCGTAGTCGTAGTCGTAGTCGTAGTCGTAGTCGTAGTAGTAGTAGTAGTAGTAGTAGTAGTAGTAGTAGTAGTAGTAGTAGTAGTAGTAGTAGTAGTAGTGGTAGTAGTAGTAGGAGTTGTAGCAGTTGTAGCAGTTGTAGCAGTTGTAGCAGTTGTAGCAGTTGTAGTTGTAGTTGTAGGAGGAGGAGGAGGAGGAGACAGTAGTGATAGTACCAGAACTTGACAACAGTAAAAGAATTACTAACAATACTGGCGAACACCCATCGGCCGTAAGCACATCAGTGGCCGTAGCCGCACCAACAACGAAAGCTTGAGTTATTGCAGCGATACTAAGTGGCAAAATGGCTTGGTAGCACTACTAGTTACTAGTACTGATACCAGAAAGGCGACTCCTAACAATGACGGAAGCAATCATGACTCATAACAACAATGAACAACATAACCATCAGGATTGTAATTCGAATGGGGGCCAGTGGTAGCAACAAAAGAGTAGTGATTGTGAATTTATTTGGACCTAGGTCAAAGTACTTCGAACCCGAGGCCTCATCTGGCAAGTCCGAGTTGCGAGAGCGTAAACCGCACAGAAAGCCTAGCCCAAACACACTCCCGAAAGAGACTGGAATTGCGAGAGTCCAAAAACCCCAACGAGCTATGAATCAGCTATGAACACCCAAAGCCCTTTTCAGAGAGTGAGACTCACAACACCTACAAATCCTGAAGCCCTAAAGCCTAAACCCTGAGAAAGCTGGGAATCCCCTTTCGCAGTCTCTCTGCCATACCCTCCCTCAGCCAGCTTGGCATTCTGGATATTTGTACTCTGTTGACGGGGAAAACAGGAGCAAAATAAAACAAAAGCCAAAAC